AATGCTTATCAAGAACTCACATATGACTTACCCTTAAAAGCTTCTGCCTGAAATCAGGGGTACTTAGGTCCCTATTAAAAAATTTTAAAATAAAATGCATTCGCATTCTTATGAAAAGAATTAATAAACTGTCTGGTTTGCAATTTTGGCAGCAAGTATATGGGCGTATGTTAGCCAACTTTTTATATAAAAATTGAGCTATACCTACCTTAGAGTAATTTTTTTCAAAATAAATACAAAATTCTTCATCTAATCTTCTAATATAACTAATAAAGTCGCTAGGAGGATGTACCAAGCTGCAACCATCAAATTCTTTTTCAAGTGTGAAGAGGTAATCACTTGAAACATTATTTGCGCAAGGTAGGGAAGCTAAACAATGATGTGACTTAAATATTTTTAAGTACATCCAACCACAAACGTAGGTAAAAGCATTTAGCTTAAGAAATGTTTCTTCACTTAAATCAATATCTACACTGAAACTAATATTTTGCAGAAATGAAGTTTGTGGTGAACAAAATGATTCCGTATACTGCCAATAAGTATCTTTCACTAACGTATCATTGCAAACATTTTCAACAGTTTCATTACAACTATTTAAACTGGGATCACTAATAGAAGCTACGAATGATGGACAATCAAAATCTACAAGTTCCTCGCAATTGCCTTTGTTGACAACATTCAGATAGCTAAGACCCCAGCCCTTTTGAAAGAGGGTTATGAATAAGTCTGATGTTATAGATTTGGCATTCCCCCCTCCTCTTCGTATTTGCCCAAAAAAGTGCTCAAGCACATCTTGGCAAAGTTTTCTAGTCATTATGACTTTAAAACCTTTCGAGGATAAATATTGCCACATACAACGAATGCTGTTAATATTAAGGAGCCATCCTTTAATAAAGGAAAAATTATTAATAATATTTCTATCTTGGGCGTCTTTGATAATTATTGTTTTTAAAGCAATTTCAGCTTCTTTCAAAAAGTCCATTTGGTCAATGGAACCACTAAAGCCTTTTTTCAAACCTAAGCTATACATACTGCTTGAATTAAAAATATCAAAAAGATTATTAAAAAAAAGACAAAATTCAGCAGTGCTTGCGGTGGAAGAAACTAAATTTAATAAACCAGAACTATACAGAGCATTCATGCCAGAAGCAACAGTATTACTAAAAACTTGAGTCGCAAAGCGCACACGCATTTTTTGAAAAGAATTTGGCCTAATGTGCTCTATTGTTAATCGTGGCGCACACCTAACACTTGATTTGGAATCTACTTCACAAAAGTGGGCAATATTTTCCCATTTAACTTCCTTATTATTAAAAATAATTTTATTTTTACTACTTATTAAACAATTTCTTGTACTCTTTATCAAATGGGGAGCATCATAAAAGAAGAAAATATTCATCGTTGACTTTAAAAAAGGGATGATGCTCATCTACACCTATCAAATTAGCTAACTTAATATTATTTTTACCCTGATCGCAAACAAAATGGCAGGGATACAAGTTAATGCCTTGAAGTTGCTTTATCACTTCAATTACAATAGATTTTAAAGTTTTACCCTTACAACTTCCATTTACAAGGAAATATGCAAAAGGTTGGGACCATTTTTGCCACCGATACCTTGAACCATGAAAGTCAAGACTGCACTTGCGATTTTGCAAGTACGGTCTTCGTCACCAAAATCTTCAAGGCCAATAATTTTATCATTGTGCCTATCATATTGGAGGTGAGCACGTAAAAACATTTCATCGCAGGATATCGAAACAAATCTCTGTTCGTATGTAAATCCGCGACTTCGCAACTCCAAGGCCTTAATGCTGCTATGAGTACAGCCAGGAGATTTTGGCCAGCTTTGAACAAAATTTCGTAATGTTCGTTCACATGGCCAATTAAAACTTTGACGTAAATGTCGATAAGTTAAGGGTGAAAGAAAATAAACTCCTAAGGCGATAGTTTTTAATTGCGTATTATATCTGCAGCCGTTTGGTAGACGACTGCAGTTCTCTAGCATTTTGGGATTCGCAACTTTGTGGAGTTTTTCCAATTGATTTAAATCACTTCGCCTTTTGCTACACTACTTAATGACTTACATTCAGAAAGTTTTTTTTGTAATTCTATATTTTCTAGTTCTAGCTTCGCTAGTCTTTCATTACCTAAACGTATTTGCTCATCTTTTAATTTTATTATAATATCTTTTTCTTCAACAACTTTTTCTACAGTTTTTAATTTTTTAACTACAGCTGTAAAATCTTCTCTTAATTTTCTTTTTCTGGGAATTCTTTCAGACACAGATATAGTATTACTATTCAATAATGGCCTAGCTAATGTAGACAGTTTGGGACTTATAGATTTATTAACTACACCACCTTCATTGTCATCCTGAATGCTTAAAGAATTAAGATAACTTAAAGCTAAATTTTGATCAGGAACAGCGCTTTTTGTTAAATTCCTTGTACACATCATATTTGCCGAAAAATGATTACTACAAGCGAAAATATTTTTGTTTGTCCCTCTAACTCCTAAGCGCTTTATCCACTCGTTTCTACATAATAAAATAAAATTTAAATCGGTGAAGAAAGTAACAAGTAACAAATGATACACAATGAGGGTTAGCTGAAAAGATGCTCCATGCAAAATAGTTATAGTTATAGTATAGTTATAGTTATATATACATACATATATATTAAACTTTATTGCCATGCATCACTTTTATAGAAAATGCACTTGCGATATACCAGAAAATAATTGTTTAAGATTACCGGATCAAAAATGCATTAAAGCCGTTAAACGAAAAAAACTTTGAGAAAATATCATATTAAAATTTTTTATAATAAATTAATATGTTTTTTATAATACACAATTCTTATTCCAGAAAAAGAATAATTTTAAAAAAAATGTTATAAGGCAATTCAATTAGTGTTGAAAATAAAACAGAAAACAGAAAACAACAAAATACAAAATATTAATAACGCAAAATAAGCAACCTCAATTTTTGACAAAAATTATCAAAAATTTATATTTTCTAATTTCAAGCAGTCCCAAGAAATATACGATTTAATTCAATTCAGTGTTTTTAACATGAACAAATGAAATAGTAAAATTTGTTAATTAGAAAACATATTAAAAGTTATTTTATTGCATAAAAGTATTTTATTAAAAATAAAATTGTTGAATCAAATTAATAATAAATTAAATAATATTAAAAGTCTTTAAACTATTCATACATTTGAATATGAATATTTTAATATACAAATATAATTTACATACTCCACTCTTTTTACCACCAAAAAATTGTTTACAATTTTTGTTTTTTTTTTATATTTCTTATTGGATTTTTCACATATTTAACAAACACAAATTAACACATAGCACAACTTTATTAAAATATATTAAATATATACTCACATATATTTTTGCTTTACTAATTTGTATTTATACACATCAAAACAAACAAATCACATTAAACACAAAACATATATTTTAAATCCACAATTAATAAATTATTGTTTTTTTACCTTCTTTCGTCATTTTTAGGAAATTCATACATTCCCTTAAATAACTTACATCCCATCACGCAATTTCGCACCATCTTCAAATATTAATAATAATATATAATAATTTACTATAATAACAATTATAATAAATATAATTATTTTTTCAAAGAAACTTATTCACTACTTTTTATAACTCAGTTTGATTTGACTACGTTTTTCAGTTTTTGGCGCATTTCTCCTGTCAAAATAACTAAACAAAACCCAATTTGCGCTCTTCATATTGCTCTTTCGTAATAAAAAAAATTAAGACCGTTCGTGGTGGTGAAACGTTCCGTTCGGGGTGGTGAAACTTTTCAGTCGTGGTGGATCGAATTGCAACAACAAAACAACGTGCTTGGTTTGGTAGTAGTAAATTATTTTGAGAGTGTATGGGTTGGTTTTTTTTGTTTACATTTAAGTTGCCGTTCTTGTACAAGTATTCTTTGCACAGAACCATCGTCAAGGCAAATATGTAATTGCTATATTCTCAATATATATTAATAAATTGAGAATTATACATTCTTTTTAAATTTGAACACGGTAACAAAAGTATCTTCTCGTCACGTTGATCGAAATGACATAAGTTTTAAAATGGTTATAAAATTTAAAAAATTTAACTGTCTGTAGAATGCGAAAATCAGTAAAAGATACGAGCATGAAACACTTGATAAAATTATAGTCATATTTTAAAGCAGTGTTTGTAAACTCTAGTAAAGTATCAGAAATTGAAAGCCTTCTTTACTCAGAAAATCGTGAACACAAAAGCATAATTAAAAGTTTTAACACGTGTTTCTGATAAGTTTTATTTAATGTACATAAGTATGTATGTATCATTATCATTTTCAATGATTAAATAGAAAGGGAGGTAGAAAACTTTCTAGAATTATACCAGGTTCGCACTATCTCATTTAGGCACTTGCTCATTTATATAAATGAGGAACCGTTCACATAATAATGAGCTCATTTATACAGCTTTTAGAACTTTTATATGTCAAAAAAGCTATAAAAGAACTTTCTTTTGTTTACAAATAAAACAAAGAAAAATTTTGGTATTGTGTAAAATAAATATTTTAAAATGGAAAACGCAGAAAATTTAAAAAACATAATATATAATGTGTGTGAAATTAATAATAATAGAAAGAAAGCAATTTCTGAATATCGTAAATGTCGTGCAATGCACCGAAAAAATATACTTGAAATAAGAAAAAAGCAAATAGCAATACTTTCTACAATAATTGCTAGCAACCGGAGGAAGTGCTGGACTTTGGTTAGTGCCGCCAGTAATGATTATTAAATAAAGTTTAAAATTAACATTTTTTTTCAGAAAAGAACAAAGAAATTCTGGAAAGTGGATTGCCAGAAAAATGGTCCAAATTTTTTCAAAGAAAATTTTCGCATGAGTTTGGAATGTTTTAAGGAGTTATGTGAATTATTAAAAGGACTACAGAAAAGAGATACAACCTTTCGAATTTCAATTTCTTTAGAAAAGAGAATTGCTATTGGCTTGTATTGTCTTGGGTCGTCGGCTGAATACAGAAGCGTAGCAAATCTGTTTGGCGTTGGCAAGTCAACCGTGTGCATTTGCCTGAAATTATTTTGCCAGGAGGTGTGGAAAATTCTTTCACCCTTGTACATGAATGCATTTCCATTAACAAGCGACAAGGTGAATGAGTGCATCCGAGGATTTGAGGTTCTTGGTTTTCCACAATGTTTAGGTGCAATGTGTAAGTTTTCAATTTAATATTACTGAAACATATTAATTGTAAACAACATTAAAGATGGAAGCCACATTGAAATAAAACCAGAATCTCAGAATGCTGTTGACTACTATAACTATAAAGGGTGGTACTCGATTGTTTTGTTTGCCCTTGTAGATTATAGGTAAGTAATTTATAAGTAAATGAACAATGAAATTTCAATAAACTCGCAAATATATTTAACTACTTATTTACAGATACCGTTTTCTTTATAGAAATGTTGGGTATCCTGGAAGAGTCAATGACTCTTTCATTTTTGAAAATTCATCACTTAAGAGGCAGTTAGAAAATTATATTACTCTAGAAGACAAAAATAGGGTGATTGATGGTGTCAAAATACCCATCTTGATCCTCGGTGATTCTGCATTTCGATTTTCCGAATTTTTGTAAGTTTTATTAGAAATTCACCTAACCCTAATATTTAACTTTGTAGCACTTAATAACTTAATCTAATTATCCTATATATTTACAACAAAAAAAAAAGAATGCAACTTAATCTAAATTATAATAATATAATGATAATAATAATTATAAATTATGTTATATTATTAATAAATAATTATCGCTAGTCATCGCTAGAGTCATCGTAACCAATGAGCCTGGTATATGGAAACCCTCTTTCCATTGATGACGCGATACGCGATAAAGCAACATTGCTTTCTTTCATTAAATTCAAGAACCTTGCATCTGTGCGTTCCTGCAGCTCGATGTGACGGTTCTCTACATCTATCAGATTCTAGAATTTTTCCAAAAGGGTGTCATTCAAATTGCCTTTATTTTTTTTTTGCAAGTGTTTCAGAATCTTCCGACGTAGATATTGCATCTATCGGTGGAAAAGAGCATGGCGACAGCAACGATGCATCATTTCATGACGGTCCCTGGTCTGATTAATAAACACATTCATTATTTTGAAAAACTTAAACAAATTTGTGAAAACTCACCTGCAATACTTTCAAGCCCTAATTTTGGAATGTTATTGTCTATTGTCTAGAAATCTTTTCAATATATGGAAGTACTTCCAGTCGGATGGGCCTCCCCCGAAACTCCAACACACTGCTATTCTTTCCTGATTTAAAATAAACAAACAAACAAATTATTAAAAATTAATAAAAAAATGAACAAAATTACATTTAAATCTCTTTTTATTATATGAAAGTACATAACATAATAAAAAAAACAAAACAGTTTCAATGCACAAATTATTATTGTAATTTTCAATTCCACTTATGAAATACTTACCTAAATCTTTGTGTAAAGTTGTGGACCTTCGTTTGCACTTCTAACGAAGTGACCAGAAAACCCCTATTCTGAAGTTCTGTGGCCATCTCATTGAAAATATGTGCGTTCCGTCGGGCGCCCCGTAATTGTGGCAGTCTTTCCTCCCATATTTCCAAAAAGTGCCTCTCGGCACTTTCCGACCAAGCATTTCTCCTTCTCTTCATTTTCTGTGTCTAAAAATAATATTTAATTAAATTAATCTAAAATCAACTATTTAAATTTGTATTGCCTATTTAATTCATGAAAACAAAAAATTTTATTAAATACTAGTACGTACATCTTTTTGCCATTGACATGAATCCATCTGAAATAAATGAATATATCTCACTAAAAAATTAAATATTTCATTGATATATTAAATCATTTATATACATGTTATATATTAATTACATTTCAATTAATAAACAGATTATATTCAATACTACTTTCTCAGTGTACTTGTTTACAGCACAGTTGTTGTTTGTTTACATTTTATATTTAAAAATATATGACAGATACTTCAAATTTTGGTCATTTCCCTTCTGGGAAATTTTTTTTAAAGGGTTGCATTCGACAATTTTGGTCTAAAATGAGCTGATTTATTGTAAATCAGCACATTTATATGAAAGCTCTTTGTATGGTAAATCATGCTCATTAGTGATTATAATGAGCAAAACCGCCTAAATGAGATAGTGTGAATGTACTATTACCCTGTCAAATGAGCCTGCTCATACTTCGCATTCGGTTCCAAGAAGTGGTTTCTGAAATAAAGCGTACTAACAATAAAAAAACACCAGGATCCGACAAAATCGATGGCCTTACTGTAAAGAGCCTTCCGTCAAAATATATTCAATATCTCACACTTGTTAGACTATTTTCTAACTCAATAGAAATGTGTAGAGGTAATAATTATACTAAAGGCAAGCAAACCGGCAATAGTACGTTTCCACTACGTACTTAGTACGCTTCATTTACTGAGTAAATTGCATTAAACATACGAAGAGCTTCCGTGCTATTTCATTTACTATAAAATATAGTAAACAAAATTCGACCAAAAAATTATACCAAATATGACGAATGCAACATTGGAAATTATCGAAATTTGACATATTTGACACATGAAACAAAATGTAAATATAAACAAACAATCAAAAAGCAAAACAAACAACAGGTAAGAATTTTTTAAACATTTGTTTTTTATAAATAAAATATATAATTAATACGTAAAAATAAGTTTATTTATTAAAAATTTATTTTTGATATAATTATAAAATTTCATATATTATTTAATAATAAATATTTATTTATAATTATATAAAATGTAATTTTTTGAAAAATATATAAGTATATATTTATTGTTGTTTTTATTTTTAATTTATAAGTTATTAGTGTTATTATTAGCTATTAATGACACTAAAACTTACTAAAAATTTGAACTAAACATCGCGTTATTCCTTTTCTATTTGGGTTGTGGTTATTTAGTGTTCAAACTTGTTTTGAAGCTCTCTGTTATCTTCTCAAAACCGACATACGGATTTTATTCTTATCTAAAATAGCAACTCAGTAAAATTTTATTTAATAATATTTACTGCCCGTACTTAGCATAGTCCAGCACTTCCTTTTTTTCTAGTAATCATTGAAGAAAGCACTATCATTTGTTGATTTTGAATTATTTGTAATTTTTTAAAAAGTATTGTATGTTCTTTTGTACATGTTATGTGAACAACATTACAAACATTATACATCAAATTATTTAAATTTGCTGCGTTTTCTTCCATGCTGATTTATTTACTTTTAACAATACAACATTTAATATCATCTGTTTACAATTAAAATGTAAACACAGAAAAGCTCTAAAACTAGAACTTTTTGACACATAAAAGCTCTTTCCCGTTCTTTAGCTCATGATACTGTAAACGCACAAAGCTGTATGTTACTATATGACTTACTAAGTACGTAGTGGAAACGTAGTATAAATGAGCTCATATCGTACGGGTCTATGCTATACAATTGTGGAGCACTGCTAGCAATTCGAATATAGAGATACTTTAGCGTTACTAATCTAAAATATTGCCGTCCATCATCAACTCTTCATTTTACATTTGAAAAGCAAATTAACACAAGGATTTTAAAATTCCTTTAGTAAAAGATGATATACGCTTCATAAGTAAAAGATACATTTATAGATTTTACAACCACGTAAATAGTTTAGCCCTTAATCTTGCAGATAATAGTTCAACAATAAAAAGACTTAAAAGAGTCCATGCTCTTTAAATTAAATAATTTCAAATTTAGTTAATATTCTTAAATCTCTTAAAATTTTGTAACTTATTTTTAAATATATAGACAATTATAAAGTGAATTTAATATATTTATTTTATTTATGAACACAACAGTCAAATAAAATGTATTTTATTAAACTTTATATAAAAATATTTCTACCTATATAAGCCCAAATAAATTTAGCAATAATGAATGTGCGCACATGAGTCCCATTGACGAATTCTTCTCAGCTGACCACAAAAAAATGCAGGTGAATTTACAAAATGTAAATCCACTTCCACTAACGGATTTTTCAGTACTGTCCAATAAATATGGACCCGTAAATCAATAAAATGAATTATTTACCATTTGAGGAACACCGTATAAAAAAATGGTAGTAGCTTTGTTCTTTGATTTACGGTATTTAATGATATTATTTTAAAATTATTTTAGAAACAATGTATAATAGTGTTATAATTAATGAATGTATTAATAATTATATAAGGGTATAATTAACAATTTTAATTTTTTTTTTGTTTAGTAAAAAGCAATTCACAAAATTATCGTTCCCATAAAAATTTTGATATCAACATCATATGAATATAGCAATAATAATGAAATTTATTAAATGTGATAAAAATTAGCTTTAATCATATACATATTTCTGATTTTCATTTAACTGCAGTATAATAATCAAAGATTACAATACTACAACAACACTACCTCTTCTACACCGCAAATAAAAGAAAAACACAACAGTCGTGTCATTCACAGGCGATTGCAAACATGAGCATGTGTTTGACATGTGCCAAAGTCAACAGTTGTTGCTGTGTATAAAAAACTAAAATGTGATAAAAATAGTTGTAGTTTAGACGCATCCTCGGGGAAGTCTGAGCCTCCCAGATATGACTGATAGAAGAGAAATGAAATATCTCTCGCGGGCCACACTGGCCGGTGAAGGAATCATCGATTCTTAAAGACTATAAAGAAATAATCGAACTAGCTAAGCGAAATAAAACAGCGCGAAAAGTCACTTTGGTTCAGTATCAAATGGTCACAAGAGGATATAACGAATTAGAAATTTGAATATACTTATATGACGAAACAAGGTATTTGCAGACAAAGTGACAGAAACTAGGCAAGCCCGTTATATTAAGCAGCGAAAAAGTATGGTAAATGGCAACCATGTGGACACTACAGGAAACTTAATTCCATAACACTGTCAGATCGATACCCAATCCGTTACACACAGGAGTTCATCCACATATTACACAATAAAAAAGTGTTTCAACTGTCGACCTAGCAAAACCATATAATGAAATTCTAATCCTCGAAGAAATAGGCCTAAGACAGCAATAATAACCCCATTTGGTTTTGTAATGTATATGCGTTAGTTATATTGGCAATGCATACAATTAATATAATAATAACTGGTTCTATATTTAAATGCGCAGTGTATATAAAAATACACTAATTGTTTCCAAGCGCATTGCGTTGTTTACAAACAAATGCATAATTCCACACAAGGAATTTGATACCACACATATCGGCGGCACTTTGCCTTCGAGTTAACCATATTCTTGCCAGGCATTGACCACATATAAAACAACATCAACAGTAAGCGTACCCGATACAAGTGGAATCGAAGACGCTTACTTAGCAATAAATTATTAAATATTAAAGTACTTACGCTGCGTCGTTTTGTACATAAATAAAAATACATATTAATATAAATAATACTAAAATACATATATAATTGTTAAAATATTTAGTAAATAAGAAAGTACATACGCTGCGTCGTTATGTACCTAGGTTAAGTCGAAAGTGAAAAACTAAATAAAAACCAGAACTAGAAGTGCACTCATAAGAAGCGCACTAGGTTCCGAACAGCAAAACTTTCTTTGATTTT